TGTTGTGTCCTATTTGTTGCCATTATGTTTATTAAAAAAAAGCAAACAGATTGTATCGGTGACTGAGTGCATCCTTGACCACACTGAAGGGCATTGAGAGGAAAAAAAAAAGCAGAACATGATATTTATTTTCTGAATTGTTCAATTTGTTTGCCGTGAGGACGGAGCATTATTGCACTCGGCCATGAATCCAACATTTAATATTTATCTTTGGACATCACTGCAGAATACAATGCATTACATCATTCTTTATAGGCCACCTCAATAATAATAATGTCCTGATAAAATACAGTTGCAGGCGAACACATAAAAGCAGTGATCATGTTATTTTCTCCAAGTGATCTGTGAGCATTAACTGCCATAAACATTGCGTTTTATATATCAAGCAATGAATTCAAATAGTCTTATTGTGTTCCTCCTCTGTATTTCTTTTTGTGCAAGAATGCGTCTGATTACAGAGCCTGGCTGAGCTTCAATAAATTGAACGAATTGGAAAAAAAAAAGTCCCTTGATGCGCTGTGTTGCTTTAGTCCGTTGAGCTCTTTTGCTTATAGCTCAGCCACATTGCAAATGTTTGCGCTTGCTCATGAAACCACCATGTACCTCCAGCCCTCAAATAGTAACAAATTGTCTCTTGATAAGTCTCTTTTCAAAGCTCGGCTTCAGTTGCTGACAACACGTGTTTACCTGGCACGTGAAGGCATTCTTTTTTTTTTGTTCATAGCAAAAATTTGACTTGCCGCTGCCTGTCATTTAATTATCCCTTCAAACGAACCATTGCCCGGACACCGTCAGGCTTTAATGCATCAGTACGAGCACTTGTATTTGCTCTCTAAGCACCTCTCCATGAGCGAGTGTGTCTAATTGCCGGTCTCACCCCTGGGCTTTTAAGAAAAGAGGATCGGAAGAAGTACTGATAGATAGCTATTAGTCTAATAACCATTCTTAAATTTCTAAATAGGGATGGTGGTGAAAGTTAATAGACAGACCAGAGCACTCCCAGTATGTTAGCATGTGATATATTTGGTGTGCACTGGTGTGCTGCTCCAGCTCACCGTTGACCCCAGTTAGGACAAATTCTGAAGACGATGGATGGATGGAGTGGTTTGTTTGTGGTTGTGGATTTCCTTCTTGCAAAAGTTGCAAGTTGCAACATCAGTCATTTATTTTTCCATTTGGAGTAGCCAGATGAATGACCAATCTATGCATAGGGGGAGTTTTTCATATATGTTAAAACAGTTATTGTGACTTAATAGCAGTACGTGATAAATATGATCTATGAAAAAAAAATGTCTCTTAATTTGATTTACATTGGACCCTGACTCTCTGCGAGGCAAATGGACCAAGCCCGAGTGGAATACCAAAAATCCAGGAATGAATAATGGACTCCCCTTAGAGGTGCTATGAAAGCAACCCCACCCCCTTGCAGAAGTCGTGACTTTGGAGGTGTCAGTCATTTGTCACACACTTGCAGGCACACCCCCTCCACTTTGCACTGACCTATTACCTACCGCCTTACCCCAGAGAGGCATATTCATAACGGAGTGTTACTACAACACAAAATCTTATCAGTCTGAAGTTTTTTTTATTTTGCAAGGCTGCCAGTGTGTGCCCGCAATGAAAGTGCACGACAAATGATTGACACCTCATAAGTCATGACTGACTGTCTCTTCTTGTTTGTTTCTCCTAGGGCACAATTTTTTCTTGTGTATCAAATGATCAAATTAGAGGCACCAGATGGGGCCAGAGTTGGCAGATTTTTTTTCACACATCTTATTTGTCGTGTACTACTCTCAAGACACAATCACTGTTTCAACAGATATGATGAAAAAGTTTTTTTTTCCAAGTGCAAACTCCGCTCGAAGAGAAGTGTGTGCCTACTGCTTCCTAACCTATTTTGTTAGTGCGAGGAATAAGAAAGCAGACCGTGCTCCTTTCTCTCTGAAATTATATTATCAAATTGCTGATTGCAGATGATAACTGAGATATGACCTCGCCTAAAGAAAAATAGACAGAAACCCTCACACAGCCATACGGTTGTATTTGAACTGTATCCTTGCATGCAGGATTTGTCCTATCCCTTGCCTATGAAAGGTTGAAATGGTTGCTTGATAACGTCCACTTCAGTTGCCCCATGAGATGCAGAAGAAACACACATATGTACACAGACCCAGAGTCCACCTCCACGTTCAAATGACAATATGCCTTTTTTTGGGGGGTTGGGGGGGGCGGTCTGTGCTGGTAATGAGTGTGGCCAGGCGGCTGGACAAATGAATGAAACGGCTACAGAATCACTGGCTGTGTTTGATTCGCCTTCACTAATTGAAAGAGACCATCTGATAAATTGAGAGGATGGGATGTACATCAGAATAGCAAGAGGCACTTCTTTGTTGTTCCCCATTGCCAAGCAAATCACACCCCAGCCTGTGTTGGAACATTCAGAGGGGGTGTGTTTCCTGTGTGTGTGTTTGTGTGTGTGTGTGTGTGTGTGTGTGTGTGTGTGTGTGTGTGTGTGTGTGTGTGTGTCAGAGAGAGCGAGAGCGAGAGAGAGAGAGGTGGGGTTGCTAGGATGTGTGCACATGCGGCCCGCTGAAAGCAAATGAAGGAGCACTTGTGTCAGCATTCGAGCGAGAACGATGAGCCAAAAGCGACAACGCCACCCTTTTCTTTCTGATTAGTGAGAGCACACCCCTTTCTTTTCCGTGTATTTGACCTAACACACACAGCTCATGCGATAGTGGTTGGGATATGACAGCGAAGGTGGATAAGAAGGGGCCAAGAATGTTTCAAATCCCAATTATAGCGACCAAAATGATTCAGATGTACAATAAAAAGCAAGAATGGGTTGGCTGGAATCTGATTTTAAGTGTTTGAAATGTTCCGTTGTCCCCTGCGACAGTCTGCCGGCCAGTTCGGGGTATAGTCTGGCGTCCGCCCAAAGTCAGCTGGGATAGGTTCCAGTACCCCATCGACCCATCCCCTGCAACCCTGTTCTGGATAAGCAGTGTTGAAAATGGATGGATGTGTTCCGTTACAATTATATGCAGTAGCACTGCTGTGAATAGCAAATTCACCTCGTAGTTAGCACCCTAAAAAAGGTTTAACATTGCTTCTAGATGCCACACGATGGTGGCAAAACGCAATTTTAGTCCAAATGAAGCATTTCGCCTCACCACAACAAAGTTCAAAAATGTTTCATGAAGGCACAACAACACAGCAACATTTTTTCAGCGAACAATGGAGGATATGTTCCAAGACGTTATCTGCAAATAGATAAATTCATGAATGCCGACCTTGTGGGGGTTCACTGCATACAGTGTTGCGAATATTATGCTCATTTTCCATTACAGCAAGTTGGCTGCCATAAGGACATCTCTCAACTGACAGCTGCCTTCTTTGTTGTGTGAAGTTAGAAAAAGTAAGCCGGAAGCCATTTTATTCTGATCACACGAATGCCTCTTTGCTAACATACCATGTTGCAAAAACCAGATGCGCTGTCATAATTAATAGCTTACCTCTGCCTTTTGTGTGCTGTGAATTAAAACAACAAGAATTCAAATACAAACTGGACTCACTTGCTATGACTATTAGAGCATATTTGAGAGGCACCAGCTTGTACACTTTGATCGATACATGGACCTGCACCAAGACATACTGGGGTTTTCCTTGCTCTGAGCTCCATCCACTAACATTTCAATTTTACAAAATGTTTTTTGCGTAATTTTGCCCACAAAAACATAGCTTCTTATAACAATTAGATTCTTTCACGTACGGTATGTGTTGTTGCAATTTACACGTGTCCATCAGCAGATTTTGAAAATGTATGGTATTTACTTGGCGGCTCGGTGACCAGTGGTTAGGGCGTTGACCTCACAGTGCGGAGGTACCGGGTTCAATTCCAGCTCCGGCCTCCCTGTGTGGAGTTTGCATGTTCTCCCTGGGCCTGCGTGGGTTTTCACCGGGTACTCCGGTTTCCTCCCACATTCCAAAAAACATGCATGGCAGGCTGACTGAACACTCTAAATCAGGGGTGGGCACAACACTTGATTCAAATGAATCGAAACTGTCCCTAGGTGTGAGTGTGAGCGCGGATGGTTGTTCGTCTGTGTGTGCCCTGCAATTGGCTGGCAACCGGTTCAGGGTGTCACCCGCCTACTGCCCGAAGACGGCTGGGATAGGCTCCAGCGACCCTTGTGAGGATAAGCGGATTGGAAAATGAATGAATGAATGAACGTACTTACTTGAAATATATAGGACCTGTGGATGTTTTTTCAACAGTAGAGTTTGGTCTCAGAAACAGAGGAGGCACAGCGGGAGTTTTGTTTGTATCGAAGCATTTATTGTATTTTTGTGTGGTGTTTTATATTTATTATGGACAAGACTCTTTACGCCATTGCTGTATTTTGTGCTTTAGAAATAAGTTTGAGTCGGGGACTGTATATTGTCGAACATATCTTTACAGGAGCAGAGCATATGATGGTTATCACTTCCAACCGAATTACCCACACTGAAACACTTGAGATTTTCATTCCGTTATCACCCCTTTCTCCTTTGTTGTCAACATCTTATCTGTCCCCAGCTGTACTTTCACGTCGTATCGTTTTCTGGATGTTTATTTAAATGTATGCATGTGCTGGTGTGTATGCATTCCTCCACAGCTCATTAGTGGCTTAGATCTTTTGCTCTGAGCGGTAGTTAGTCCAGATGTTTGGTATCTGCAGGAACATTCTATTTTGGAAACTTTCCCACATGCTTTCTGGTGTGGTTGAGTCTGCGCTTGCCCCGAACTTCAAAACAACCCTGCTCTAAAAATAGTCTGAAGCGAGTCGTAATCATTCTAAGGACTCTTGATGGCTCTGATGGGGCAATGTGCATTCAGGACATACATCAAGCACTCTTGTAACAACCTGCATATAGAAGCTGAAGCCCCAAGCTCAGAACTTTGAGGCGGTAGTTCTAACCGATCAAACCAAAAATTAACAAACCACTTCTACAATGTATTTCTGTGCAGTAATGTTTTATTTCAACTATACATGCCGTGTTAAAAAAAAAAAAAAATCAACAAAAAATATGAAACAAAGACCATTACTATTTACACTTTCACAGTACATCTTTAAAACATTATCTACACGCTCAAATACTCTGGAGATCCAATATATACACCTGGCTTTGCATCGCCATGTTGCACAGCATTTAACTCTAAATGGCATGACCAAAACCGTTTTTTTTTCCTGCACATAAAAAGAGCTTAAAATGAATTTTAAAGGCTTCAATTTAGATTGCAACTGAAGAAGGAATTCATATTGCAATGTACAAGGCAGTTAAGCAGTGTATGTTGAATGGATGTCAGGTTGCAGGTGAAAAAAAACAAAAGAGCCCAAATACTGCTTAGCTGACAAGCAGGAATGAAGTCTTTACATACAATCATTACTTGTAAACAAAATGTGGCTTTGGGCTAAAGAGGCAGCTGATATTTAGGTTAGGTGTCACTCATGTAGATTGTGAAATTAAATCATTCCTAAAGTTGTCCTTGCTGACCAATAAAAACTCAACTGAATTTGATTCGAATGGTTAACGGCTTTCGCTTGACCACCATTTTTAATACACTGGCCGCAGGCAGGATGTGCTGAATTGAGCCGACTGGTCCACAGTGCAAGGTCTGAACAGCGTACATCCCACTGTCAAAAATACATTCACTGCATGGCACCTCTGTGTGGTGGATTAATACATCGTCAACACCCACAATGCCCATCCTTTAAAACGTTTGCGTAGGACCCGGTCACAAGTGGACTGTCGGTCACTTATGACTAGGTAGTTCATTTTCGACACGTTTTGGCCTATGAAATGATTTATATGGTAAATGACAATTACATACTAACAACTATTGACATTGCCAATAATATACTGTACTGTGGTCGATAATTCCGAGAATAAGGCACAAAATGCACAGATTCATGTTCGCTTGCCTAAAAATATGCTTATTCCTTATTTATAGGATTTAAGTACTGTATATACACAAACTTGTCATTCCCAGCATGACTTATCTGGACACATTGGTAAATGTTGTGTTGATTGTACACTGGCCACTCACAGGGAAGCTGTATTGTTAATACGGGCATTGGAACCAACACTGAAGGTAAAATGAGCTTTTAAAGTCATGTATTATTTCAAGGTCAGTCTAATAATGTAACCAACATTGTGGTTGTCGGAGAAAGAAATGTTTCGTTTCACTATTGAAGAAAATGCCCCAATTCACACGCAACACGGCTCATCTGTGTTCTGAAGTCCTTTGAATGAGAAATATGCATTCTTGCTACATAAAGAAAACGTTTCTGCAGTACGATTCCAATAAGTCGAGGTTAGTATTCGGGTAATTGATCAGTCTGACGGTGCGTTTGGTTTTTGAAATGGTGCCTATCGGCTACTCTTTGAAGGAAAACAAAAGATGTGCATACCCATCTTAGGGTCATCCCACTCTGGTACAGCACTATATGCATCAAACACACACAGCTATGTCTAAAAACAATAGCAGCAAATGTATTGAGGATATCCCAGTGAGTTAAGAGTCCCTGTCCGAGTAGACAACCCAGTGTGACCATTTTAAAAGTAGCTCAAAACCTTATCACCTAAAAAAAAAAAAAAACACAAAAATGGTTGAGGCTTAGTTTAAAATTAGGTCAGAGAAGACCAAAGCAACACATTTCAGCGAGACAGTGACCTAGGTCTTAAGATGGATTTTAAGGTGCATCGTCTTAATGGCACCGCTCTTGACGTGTGAAGGCTTAACACGTGTTCGGGCCTTCATTCCCATCGGCCCACACAGATGCAAACATACATGACCAAAACACACGTCATCATTTACACTCTTGTGTTGTTTACGAATATTAGGTTGACTGCTGCCTTGCATAAAGGACAGCCGACAGCTCTGTTGCGTTCACATTAGTGGGAAGACAGTGCTCAAAGGCAGTGAAAAATGAGACCCATTCTTCAAGTATTCCACTGTTTCCAACCTGGTACCTCACACACAGACAGACACTGTGGTGTCATTGGTATCCTAATCCGTGTACCTAACTTGTGAAAACGGGTGACACCAAAGCACCGATGTCCACCGTATGACGAGCAGGATGGAAATGAAAATGAAAAACATCGGAGGAATATCTTTGGCCGCACGTGTGATTTTTTTTTTCCCTTTTAACTGAAGTGTGAGTGCATATCACTTAAAGGGGAACACACCTCAGGTTGATACACACACACACACACACACACACACTGGGGGTCAACCCACTCCGTAGCCGGGCCGTCCGGGCTCAAAGCTATAACTGTCAAGGCAGAGAGCTCACGCCATCGTGTTGGTGCTCTTCTAATAGCTGTACTTATTGACCACTCGCATCTGTGGAGTCTGTGGTGAAAAGCCATTAGGTTTCGGGGGCACATCTGGCTTTAGGGATGGGGTCCTTTTAAGTCCTGTACGAGGGAGTGAGCCATGCCCACTGTAGCTGCTTTGCCGGGATAAAGAGGGAGGGTTGGGCGAGTGCATTCCGCCCCCCATCATTCCAACATGGGAATCTAGTCTGGAGGGGGGCGTCGGGGGCATATATCCCCCTCTGTTCATACTGTGCTGGCGAGACACAGATACCCCCATAGTCACCCCGTTGGTTGAAGTGGACAAGGAGTGCCTGTGAGAAGCACTCCTTTGGAGTTGGTAGCCCCCTCTGGGTCTCTCCAAGGTTCCCCCCATGCTCAGGCTGCCCGTTGGCGTGGTGGGACTGCTGGACAAGGGGACGTCCACCCGCTTGGTGGGGCTATGCCTCGGCAGGGAGGAGGAAGGAGAGTATAAGGAGGCCTCGCGACTTGGCACCCTCGGGGGTAGTTCTGTCAGTTCCTCCATGGGCTCCAATGTGAGGTGTTGTCGAGAGCGGGGCCCCGATGCCTCGTGAAGAATGGCCTTAGGGTTGGCCACAGAGTCATTGAGATGTTTTAAAAGGTCGTTTAGTGTATTCCTCGCGTCCACCGACCGCTTCTGGTCTTTCCTGCTTCCTTTAGTTTCTGGATTCTTCAGCTTCTTCTCAGAAGAATGTGGCAGAGTATCATCTCCGCTGTCGAGATATGGGTGGTCATGTGTGGCATTGGGCAGGACGACGGCACTGGGGATGTGGGAGTGACCCAGGGCCAGGTGAGGATGGTGGGAGTTGGATTTAGGAGGACCAGGTGAAGGAAGGAGAAACTGAGAACTCTTGGCCGCCGAATTGGATTCCTTGCGGGAGCCACTGATCTTCCTGTGATCCCTCTCCCACTGGTTTTTGATGGGCTGCAGGCCTTTCTGCTGAAGGACAGGAGTGGACTCGGGTGTTGGGAGAGCAGCCAACTCAGGGGGCGGACAACCGTCCCGCAGGATCATGGTCTTGGTGTCGCCGTTGGGTGTTTTCAGGTCTTTACTCAACAGGTTGGTGTACAGCTTAGGAGAATCCACATTGGTCTGGTACTCCTGTGGACAAAAAGACAGATGGCTACACTGTTCACTGAGACACCTCAGCTCCTCTAGGCACTAATATTAGTTGTTGTTGGCGGCAAAGGATAAAGAATATAAAACTCAGTACTGTTATCAACTGTCTAAATGTGTCACTGCGCCATTTATGTTCATTCATTTGCTTAAAAGGTTGGTAGCTCCACAACGTACTGTAGGTTTGGTATCAAATGCAATCAAATTTAGTGTAATTGCTTATGTCACGAGTACAGAGCAACAAAATTCACTGAACCATTACAACCCGTCCAAGAGACATAAGAAACAATGACCAAAAGAGGGAGAATGAACGCAGAGGCTGACCGATCGGTATTTATCATCCTCACTAACCTAATAGCCTGAAAGTAAAGTGATGTGGCTCGTTTTATGTTTAATTTGACAGTAAACTTCAACGTGGAGTGGCAATAAACAGCTTGAATGCGGTTTTTTTTTTTTTGGGGGTGTTCCCTATTTTCCCAAGTGCTGTCTGTTGTGACGTTACTTGAGTTCACTGCCCCTATACGTCACTCATATCTCAAGTCAGCACTCACAAGTTCATCCGGAAGTCAGCTTGTATCTCGAAAAACCCTCAAGTCATGTAATTCATATCTTCAGGCAGCGCTTTATCTAAAGGGTTGGATGTACCTTTACAGGACTGTCGAAGAGGCCGTTGAGCTTGACGAAGCTTCCAGCAGAGTCCGAGCAGGATGGAGCAGATTCCGCATCCTTGTGGACACGCCGTTGCTTTCGCATGAATGATTCCCGATTGCAGAAGACAATCAGGCCGGCAAGTAAGGCGCCCATGAGAAAAGCACCAAACACGCAGGTGATCAAGATGTTCATGTGGACCATCTGGCTGGCTTCACTTGCTTGGATATCCCACACACCTACAAACAAACAATAAGGACGGGTTAACCTCCTGCTGCGATATGTCGAGTGGTCAGTGAAGCATTCTCCTCCCCCACTTCACCAGCAGACATGTGCATGTTTGTGCTCCAACACAACCGTGCATGAGTTTCTTCTCTCAGATCTCCCCTCAAACAGTGTACCCAGTCGTTTGCATATAGATCATATGAAGAAGAGGTGATTAGGCATCCATGTACATTACACCATCCATAGTGGAGATTTGTTAATTCAAGAAAGGATTGGTTTCCTGGATCCATGCGCCCCACAGGGTTAGATCATCTGACAGCTGAATTAATGTTTTCGACCAAGAAATCAATCAGCAGGAAGTTGGTCAAAGGAGCAATAGGATGTTTTTGTTTCACTGGCTGAAATAGTCGATGCTCTACAGGAGGTTTGTTAGTAACCACAGACATTGAAAGTTAGTTCACCCACTGTGCGGCCACCGTCGGGTTGTGGCCACCATCGGGTAGCGGCAGTGCAGGCCCAGTCTATCATCTACCAGCCAGGGTAAACTATTACTGGAAATAATGTTAGCTTGTCTATTCTGCAAATAAAATCAATGTAAGATTGAAAAAAAAAAAGATCATGAAAGGATCATAAAAGAAGAAAAGCTTGGGAAAATAGTGAATTATAGAGTGAAAGAAAATGAAACATAAACGTAGCACTCCAATCTATTCTAGATAGCTGCCACGGTGTGGATGTGAAGTGTTTGCACATGTGAGCCACGGCGTGCATTGTCAGTGGCCGGCAGCTATCAGATCAATGCAGCATGCTGGCTGGCTCCCTGCGGGCCTTACCCTCTTGCCCCCCTGGGAGAGAGTCTAAAGAATGAGAGGTGGCTGGGTCATCCTGCAGCACAAAGCCTGAGCCGTAGAGCTCTGGACGGGGCCCAGAGCTGGGGCTCTGAGTGGGAATGAGTACTGGGGGAGGTATGGGCCCACTGGGCGGGACAGTGACTGGTGCTGATGAAAACTCCATGTCTGTGGTGACAAACAAATTGTTAACAAATGGTTTGTAAAGCATACTGTCATCATCCCGGTTAGTAGGCATGGGCGATGGGAATTTGAAAAGTTAGTTGGAGTAAATCATGATTCGGCTTTGACATTTTTGTTCCAAACACTGGAGAGGGACAAAAGAGAGGATACAGAGTTTCAAAGAGGAGCTGGTTCAGAACAGTACGGATGCTTTGGTGGGTGAGCATGCCAGGGGAAGTGAACGGGACAGGGCGTGATGAGTGAGAAGTGAGGCAGTCATGTGACCTGGCAAATGGGTTTTGTTTGTGACAGTTAAAAATGAAGCAGGTGGCATTCACGGGGGGCGTTTCGCTAGTAAAACATGACAATGAATGAGTGGTGCCAAGACAGGGCTAGAGATGCTAAACTCAAGGGAAAGTAAACCATTTGAGTAAAAGATCAAACTAACCAGAGGTAGGGTCACCAAATGATTTGTAATCTGGCGCTGAAGTAGTGCCCAAAAATGCTAAAAGAATTCAAAAGCACAATACATTATTATCAGGGAATTCAGAAGTTTCAAATAATACCCCTTTGAGTGCGCCTGAATAAAATATACAAAGCACTCACTGAGTTCATTATCTTTCTCAAGTAGGTCCTCTGGTTCTGATCAATACTGAGGTTCAGCTTGGGTCATGGTCAGTTGGTACATTTGGCAAGGCAGATATTTCAAAAGAAAAGCAGTAATGGCCACCGCTTATTAGAACTAAGGCCTCCACCATTTGCACCATCTCAGCATGACCCTTGAATGTATAGGTCCATGTTTGCAGCATTAGTTACAAGTAGCCATGTACTCGCTGTATGCAGACGTGTCTGTTAATACCAAACGCAGACTTACAAGTATGTAGGGACAAGTTACTGGTATGAATACTGGTGTGAGTGTGCAGATGAGTATGTATTGTTTGCTCAGGCGTGTGTGTGCGTGTGTGCGCGCACGTGTGTGGGTGTGCGTGCATGTGGACGTCAGCGTATGATTGTGTCAGAGGATAGATGAAGTGATATGAAGATGACTCTTACCCTGACAGTCTCCCAGGTGGCCAGTGTTTCCTAATTCAATATCCTGCTCATAGCCCGTCCTGAAAACGAGACAAATGAGAATTTCTATCATCTCGACTTTAATTAAGACATCTTGTGATAAATCTGGAGCATGAACTCACAAAAGACCGGTCTCTATCCTCTCACAGGCTCCTTGTGGTCTCCATCCACAATAGGGATCACGTAATGCAATGCAAGACCTAGTCCAACACACACACACACACACACAC